GATTACGGGGAGCCACAGAGCACTGCATGGAGTGCGATTGTGTTCTGAGAACTTCCCAGAGGCAAAGAAAGGAGATTTTCAGGCCAGCTACTAACGAGCGTGATCATATAGCTGCAGTTCTGTCCAGGTCACCCAGGTGATGGGAACTTGTAACCCCAAATCAAAGCTCCCTGCAACCCCTCCCTACTTACAGGAAATAGGACAGAGACAGAGTGAAACTTGAGCATAAGTCTGGAGGATAGAAGGAAATCACAAAGTAACAAAGACACCACTGGAAACATGCAGGCACAGAACATTACAGGTTGAGCAGTGACAAGTTTATTTAAGGCAAAAAGGTGCACACCTGAAGAAAGGGGAGTGTGGGCTGCCTCAGAGAAGAGGCGCCCCAAGGGTCTGGAGTTTTATAGGGCTTTTTAGTTAGGAGTCAGCATAAAGCATGATGTAGACAGGTGACTTATAATTCCTTTGGAATTTTGTCTTAAGAATAGGGTTATTTAGGTGACGACATAGGTCGGGATCCTGGCATTCTTTGTCCACATAGGTTTATTTACACTTACACTTCGGAGGTCTGTCTCCTGCCCTGTTACAAAGTTACTTGATGAAAGAGCAGGAAGAAGAGGAAAAAACAGCATATAGGTTAAATTAAATAATAAGCTGGGCCTTTTAGCAGGCTAAAGTAAATTTTACAATGGCATGACCTAATTGATGCAATGAAGACTCAGGTACTTTTCTTTATCTGGGGACTAGCCAGACATTCTGAGTTGCTGTTGGCCTTCGGAGCTTCACCTGATTAAGTCATTGACTCAGTAAGTCTTTTCTGGCTAATTTTATCTGGTTAACCCTCTGAGTCCCTTTTAGGGGGCTTTACTGGCCTTATTCTCCCTTCACCTGTTCATATCTATGTTTCTGCCTAACACGATCACAGCTATAAGGTGCCAACTCAGAGCTGTGTAATTCCTAAGGCTGGGGAAAATTCCTGCTCAATTCTGCCCCTGCTGTGGATGAGGTCATGGGCCCTGGTCCCTCTGTCCTTAGAGGATGGATCAGCTGGGCAAAGAGGTGGGAGAAGTTCTGAGCGGAGGGCACAGCAGGGGAAGGCTCCAAGGCTAGGAGGAGTAAGGTGTCTTCGCAAACCTTCAGGAATCGAGGCCACTGACTCCAATTCATGTTTTGGAGGCAGGGCCACTGTAGCTCTGGGGGAAGTGTTTTCCTGTCCCCGGGCAAATAAACTGGTGTGACCAAAATCAGTCAAGGGAAAAGCTAGATTGGGAGAAACCCGTTCTTTGCTCCCAAGAGGCCCGGCTATCTGTCCCGCTAGCTGCTGTTCTCACTCCCCGGACTCTCCCCACCCAAAGTGCACTTGCCTCTCTGCCCACCCCTTCTGGAAGGAACTCTGTGAGGTGGAACCTGTTAACTGACAGGCACCAGACCAATTATGCAACATGGGGGAGGAGAGAACAGCTTCTCTCCCCAGAGGCTGCAGGGGATTATTGATATGGAAATGGACTAAGACCAGGTGAGAGATTCTGGAAAAATTGCAATTTTACCCCACAGCCACAAAAACCAAGAGAAGGGCCTAGGGGCCTAGGGGCACAGGATCAGGGCATATGTGAGTGGAGACCTGAAGAACGTGTGGGCTGAGCCAGGCCAGCATTTCAGGTGGGAGGCACAATCTGTGCAAAGGCCCAGAGGTGGGACCAGCTGTCATGTTCCAGAAACTTCAGAGAGGCCAGTCTGGGTGGATAGGAATGAGCAAGGGGGAGGCCAGTGGGAGGAATCAGGTAAGTGCAAGGGCTGGGGGTGGAGGCAGCCAGCTTGGGTCTGACCTTCAGGCCAAGAACTTTGGCCTTTAACACTTTGCCCTCAGCCAGGTGGGATGCCACTGAAGGGTGATCCATTTATTTCTTTGATAAACATCAGTTCTTTCTCAGAACTCCAGGAAACATCCTTTTTTAGAAGCCTCTTTGAGCATCATCGTGCATGACATGAAATATTTTTCAAAACATTTAATCCTCTAATCTGGGCTTCGGTGAAATCAGTTCTTTATCATTCATGACCATCTGTTGTTTTGGTCACATGATAAATAACTTGGGAGATTTGATGTCTCAGGTGCTTGTCTCTGTTCTCTCCAAATTCTGAGAAATGACATTTGAGCTTTCCTTGCAGAGCAGTGGTGCATTTAAAACTGATCTCTCTCTACACCCTGTGGGGGGCTGCCTTTAGGAAGTCACGGGACTGGGGGGTGTTGAAGTGTTACTGGCTGAGATGCTGCACTTCCCAGGGTCGTGTCTCAGAGGCAATGAAGAATGAAGCCCGCAGACAAGAGTACAGAGCAACAAGCAAAGCTTTTAATGAGGAACCAAAAGGAAAAATATCCTGCCAGCCAGGAGGGGCTACAAGAGCCGATGCTGTTGGTTGGGTCTAGGAGTTCATAAACTTCTGGAAGGAGGAAGTCCAAGCCCTGTGGACCTGATAGGCAACTGAACTAATGACATTACAACTCACTCCTGACTGGCTGAAAGTACAATGCTCATTTGCACAGGGCGTAATCAATCAAGGCGGGGCGTCTATCTACTTAAGAGTATTTTCGAATGGCTCGGCAAGATTGGAGCTCTTTGAAGGAAGAAACCCCCATGATTGCCTTGGAGTTGCTACCAGCCCCGAGATGGGGATTCCAGGCTGAATTTTCCCGGGAATGGTTTTCTGTTTACTGTGAAGCCCAGCTCTTAGTTCCCAGGGGCCACGAGTTCTATCTGCCTGTGTCCCACTAACTCCTGCCTCAGGAGGTGGGCAAAAAATGTCTCAGTTCTTAACTCCAGGTTCCACAAAATTTCATAAATGAGGCTTAATGTAAAAACAGGCTGGGCGGAAAAGCCACGGATTCCCTCCCACTACGCATGCGGCATTCTGCATCAGCTTTGAAGGCTACAGGGGCAGCTGTCGCATTCGATTAGGATTAAAATGGAGGGGAGTGGGCACAACATGGGGCCAATTTCGTGAAGAAAAGTAGGGGATTATGGCTCCTGTTTGCACTTGAAAATTATGCGTGATGCTGCAGGAATTAGAGGGGCCAGGCTGAGCAGGGGATGGCGAAGTCTGAACCACGAGTTTGAAGAGCCGTGCTCTGGTCTCCTCTTTGTTTTGGGGGTGAACCACCGTCTCCCGAAGCCTTTGTTTCCTTATCTGCCAAATGTTGGCTTTATGTTCAGTGTTAGATTTCACAAATCAAGTGACCTATATATATATATAAGGGGGAAAAGATGAATTCTCTGCGGGGAGCCGGGTGAGGCCAGGAACCTCATCGCCCCTGGCTGTCCCCGCCCCACGTGGTCACTGCTTCCTCCCCCGTCCTGCACCAGCCTTAGCCCCTGGGGCTCCCTGGGAGGGAGCGAAAACACTGATGAGTGCGATTCTACCCATTCCGAGACGAGCCCGGTGGGGACCTGTGCTTGGTAGCCTGACGCCCCCTACAGGGCATTGTGAACAGCACATGGAGTTTTTTAAACTAATGAACATATGTATCATAGGTGTTTTTTCTGTTGTTAAAAATTCTTCGTAAGTACTTCTGTTTTAAAATTTTTAATTGTTTTCTTTAAATTGAAAGAAAAACATTGAACCAGTGCAAAAGAATGTATAATGAAATCTCCCTTGGCTTCAAAACCTAATTCTTCTTTCCAAAGGCAATCTTTGATAACAGTTCATGTATTCTTTGTGTACCCTTCCAAAAATGTTCTAGGCCTATACAAATATAGATATATGACATGTGTGTCCTAACGTGCATTCTAAAACACAGTTAAGTGCATAGTATGCAAACTGTTCTGAACCTTTGCTTTCTTCATGAACCATGATATCCTGGTAATCATTCACAAGCAGGCTAAGAGCAGGTTTTAATGGCTGCATGCTACTCCAGTCTGCAGACAAGCAGTATTTTTTTTGGACAGTACAAGGGGGGAGGATTGTGAAGTCTGTATAGGTGTGCAAGTGGTGTGGGTAGGGGGTGTAAATAGGAAATTAGATGACAGGAGCAGTTTAGGTATAGGCCAGGAGGGAGGCCAAGCCATGTGCTTTCTCCCGATGAACCTACTTTATAGCTGACTCTGTGTGCATGTGTGTGTGTGTCTGTGTGTATGTGTGTGTGTAGGGATGTGAAAGACCCGCCCCTCCCCATACACCACTTTCAAATTCAAAAGCAGAGCAGTGTTCCCAGCATGGATGGGGCCTGGTGTCAGAGGGACCCAGGGTGGGTGACCTGGTGTGACAAACTCTCCCAACCCCACCTCCCTAATGCTTATTTAATTGGTTTATGCCCATATTTCCTCTATGCTGAGTACTGCAACTTAGTGTCAAATTTTTATTAAAACATAATATCAAAAAGTGGGAAAATCATGTGTCCGGCTCCATGAATCCCCACAAAGTGAACACCCCCCACATAACCAGCACCCGTATCAAAAAGTGCAACAGGGACAACCTGCACACACAGGTCCCCGGGTACTGTGCCCACCCCCAAGAGGCGACCACTCTCCTGACTTCTCACCACAGACATCAGCTTTGGTAGTGTGTGGACTAAAAATATACACGGAATCACACTGTGTTCTCTTGTGAGCTTGATTTTTCTGTCCCTCACTATTTTGTCCCTGAGATTTATCCAAGTTGTGTGAATTTGCCCATTCTGTTGTGTGGCTTGCCAGTTCTCAAAGCACTACGTGAACATGTGGATTACAAGAAATACGTCTGTAGAGTAATAGACGTGTGCGCATCTGTGCGCGTTTGCGTATAGCCATACAGGTGCACATACAGGCCCCTTTTCTCCGTACACACATGTGCGCGCACACGTGCACACACTGGGCCAGACGCTTCCCGCACAACGGCTCTCCAGATCCCTTCACCCTTTCTGCTGTGGATGGGCGCGGGCATTTCAGTTTGGGGCTGTTCCTCAGCTTGCGAGCTGGGCCGGCTGCGCGGTGGGCGCCCCGCTCGGCTGACGCTGGCTCTCCCCGCAGGCCGAGGGGGCAGCCGCCCTGCAGCCCCGCGCCGACCGCTGCCCGCCGCCCCCGCGCTCGCTGCCCCCCGGCGCCTGCCAGGTGGCGCGCTGCCAGGCTGACTCCGAGTGCCCGCGCCACCGGCGCTGCTGCTACAACGGCTGTGCCTACGCCTGCCTGGAGGCCGTGCCGCCCCCGCCAGGTAGGGCCAGGCGGGCGGGGGGCGGAGGGCTCCTGGGGAACCGCCCTGCCCTGCCCGCGGGGCCACACCGGGCCACCTGCGGAATGGGACCTAGCGGCTCCGGAGCAGGCGTCCAGCTGGGCGCACTGAGCTCCACTGTGTGCCCCGCCACTGCCCCCAGGGAGCCCACCATCCAGGAAACACTCACCCCAGGGAAATGCCCCTGCTACGGAGCTGAGGGAGACTCCTCAGAAAAAAAACAGATTTCCAGCTTTTCTTAAAAATCCTGGAATGCATTCCTTGGACCACCATACTGGAGGTATCCTTAGATGGCGGTGGAGTCCTCCCGTTTTCCACCCACCCAACTAGGTCCCCTTCACTCGTGATGCCTGGCCTTGGGAGCATTTGAGTTGGAGACCTGGGACCTTAGCAATCCAGAGAGGCAGGGGCTGCAGACTCCCGGGTTCAAATCCACCGACTAGGGGGTCGCGTCCTTAAGTCCCCCACCTGTAGGACAGGACTGAAGTGAGGGTGTGCAGCTCTGGGAGGAGCCTGAACATTGGGAGGTGCTCAGCATGGCATCCAGCTAGGAGCAGATGATGAGTAGGATGTTTGTTGAGTCTTAATGTGAGTGTCTTTGAAACAGTTATCTTTGAAGGGAAGGAGTTTAAGATCCCTCCTGGAGAGAAGGATTGAGAAGGAAGGGAAGGGAAGCCTGTGGGGGGCACTGAGGGGGGCACTGAGGGGGGCATGGGCAGCTACCTCCCCTGGGTGGAGAAAGGTGCTGGAATGTGCACCTTTGGGTAGAAAGGGGCAATGACGTTTCCACCACTCTCGGTTCTGCTTGCAGCTGAGCCTTCAGGTAGCATCAGCCTGCGTGGACTGCACCCTTCAGTGAGAGGCTTATGGTTCCCATAGACCTTAGCTGCTGAGGGTGGCTCTGAGACAGTCGCCCTAATCCCTCCTTCCAAGGCGAAGCAAGAATGAATAACCACACTTTGTTTGCTTTGGGGTGAGGTCATAGCGATGACATGGGACTCAGCACCCTTAATAATGCTCATTATTGCAGTCTGCCATGTGTTTGGGCAGGGCCTCTGTTCTAGGGACTGGCAGGTATGCCCTGCCAGGCTGGCTCCTACAAGACCTTTCGTAAGAAAGACAAAATGGCGCCCCCTCCTGGTGGAAAAGGCACAGAAGGTAGTCCCCTCCGGGTGGGGGGGGGGTCAAAATGGTGCTCCTTTGGATTGCAACAGGGCATAGGGATTCTAGCCTCTTTTGCCACTTTGGCCAGGTGCTTTTGAGCAGTGCACAAACTGTGCAACTGTCCGTGACATTCCCAATAGTCTTTCCATACATCGTCTCATTAAATGCTCACTGAGCCCCAGGAATGGAAAGATTCTCAGCCCTATTTTGCATCTGAAGACACTGAAGCTCAGACAAGCAGAGCTGCTTGCCCAAGGTCACAGAGCTGGCACAGTTCGAGTTTTGATCCAGCCTTCTGACTGTGTAGAAGTGTCCACGGCCTTAGGCCCCGAGAGCAGGGATCTGGGGCCCCAGCTCTGTCACCTGGGCCATATGTGGCTCGCTCACTGCTGGAACATCCTTCTTGCAGACACCCACACAGCTTACTCCCTCACCTCTTCAGATCTTTGTCCAGATGTGGTCCCTTTTTCAGGGAGTTTATTTATCAGGTAATTCCAGAAAGTCCTAGTGAAGAAACAGAGCAGTGAGACCCTGGACCTCCAGGTCCATAGGGGTCTGAAAATTAAGGGAAGGTCTGGAGCAACTTTCAGTAGTGCAACATATACAGCAAGTTATGTATACTTCCCTGCTCTTCAGAAGCCTTTGATCAAGGCAAATGAGAAGACAAATAGTAAATATTAATACATTTCCTATTTGGTAAAAAATAGCATTGAAAACATCTTTATAATGTGGTCTGAGGTGGTAGGAAGAAGGAGGGAAGAACCAGAATATTGCAGGGTGACAGTTATGTCAACCCTTTAGTCCAGACATTGCAAACTGCTGGTGGCTTAAGGGCTGTTTCCATGTGCCCATTGTGAGCAACCACCTTATAAGGACCTCATACACTTTTACAGAAAAAGCTAACTGCAATTTTTACTAATACCCCCCTCTGTACTTTCAAAGCCGCTAGAGAGTACATCAGCCTGTTTATTGTTATCCTGTTTTGGAGTCAAACTAAAGCAGAGATCAGAAACACATGGGATCCCAGAGTGCTTGATCTCCCAAGTGCTTGAAATTTTTAAAGATTAACGGCCAACATTTAACAATCAGGAGAGTATTTATTTTTAAATATAGACTTAAAGTGTCTTTTTAAAAAAATACCTAGAGGCTCCAGGAACACTGGGAATGCCAGGCCAGAGCTGATCAGCAGCTGAGCCACTGAGGCAGGAACACACTCCGGGTTGCCATGGTCCCATCTGGCCCGCTTTTCCCATTTATGGACCTATTTGCCACCTGAAGGCATTTGGGCTTTCAACCCTTGCTTTTAGTTTTTGAAGACCTTGCAGTCTATTGCATGGGTCACTCTTCTGTTAAAAATATATTGGTCAGAAAACAAGCTATGCTGTTGTAACAAAAAGACCTGTGATCCAAGAGGCCCAGCCTATTAGCTGTTCATGCCACTGCAGGTTAATAGGCCTGAGTAGACAGGTGGTCCCTGGCAGGTAGGGGGCTCTGCGCCACAGTCATCCAGGGACCTTCCAGCCTGCTGCTCTCTAGTCAAAGTGGCTCCCAGCGGGAAGAGGGAAACAGAGAGAGACAGTCACATGGCCACACCTATCCGCAAGGGAGGCTGGGAAATGTGGTCTCCAGCTTGGCCACCCAGTGCCTGGTCGAAACTCAACAGCTCTGTTACTAAAAGGACCGGGCAGACGTATCTGTGTGTCATCAAGTACAGACTCACTGACCTCCAGGGGCTGGGGCGTTTCTCAGCTGCATGAGGCAGGTCTTGATTTAACTATGTATTATTTTGTTAGTTTTAGACTGGCTAGTGCAGCCGAAACCTCGATGGCTGGGTGGCAACGGCTGGCTTCTGGATGGCCCTGAGGAGGTATTGCAAGGTACCTACAGGGAGGAGCCCGACCTGATGTCAGAGGCGGGATCCCTCCTTCCCAGCCTGCCACCAGGACACTGAGAGCCAAGGCTGCCTCTGATCCTGTTTTCAAATACTCAGGCTGCTGATACTCCCACCCCAACCCAGAAGGGTGACGGCTGGGGCTGGGCCAGGCTCTCAGACTGCCAGGACAGCACAGGGGTTCGCTTTCCCTAGGCCTGGGGCCTCCTTCCCAGGAGAGGGAAGTGACTTGGGTTGGTTTCCAGGTCCCTAAAATCATAACAAGGGCTTCATTGCTCTCTGATGATGAGTTTCCCTCCAGGGTGGGTGGAGAGCAGTTTCTGAGAGGAAGGACAGGCAGGCCAGCAGCCCAGAGAACTGTAGGGGGTAAGGGTGCCCACTGGTGTGTGTGACTGCCCATTAGGGTGTGAGGCTGTGTGTGGCTGCTGTGAGGCTGTCCTTGGGGCCAAGTCTGAATACTTCTGTGTGTGCAAAGGCATGTGACTATAGGTGTGAGTGTTGATGTGTGTTTTAGGACTCATGGGAAGGTGCAAATGTGTGCATGTCCTATGTGCATATGTGTGTGCATCAGGAAATGCGTATGAATGCATGGGTGCATGTGGCTTTGATATGAGTCTGTAATGTGCATGCCAGGACTTGTGTGAGCATGGGCAGGATTTGTGGGTGTGCATATGTGGCTGTAAGCATGAGCATTTGTTTTGGGGTGTGTGGGTGAACATGTGTGCATGCATGTCACTAGGCACGTGAGGGCATGTTTGGGATCCTGTGACTTTGGGCTGCCCTGTGTGTGTGTGTGTGTGTGTACATGTGTGTGTGTATGCATCCCCTTGGGGGCCCAAGCCATAGCCTGGGAGCTGGGCACTGATGAGAGGTGCTCGCTGGCTCACCGACGTGTGCCCCTCCCACAGCAGAGGCCTGCAGCACCACAGAGGATGGGGCAGAGCCACTCCTCTGCCCCTCGGGCTACAAGTGCCACATCCTGAGCCCAGGCAACGTGGCTGAGGGCATCCCCAACCACGGGCAGTGCGTCAGGCAGCGCCAGCAGGCAGGTGAGTGGGGCGCCCAAGGCCTGCTCTTGCTCCCTGCCCCGGCCCCACGCCCCCGGTACCCACACGGAAGGTTGGACCCCACCAGCGAAAACCACAGCCCGAGCCTGGCCGGAGGTCCTGCCACCCTGCGCCTTCTTCAGAGTCTCCCACCCTTTCCCCGCCCCACCTGCAGTGACACAGACCCTCGAGTTGGCACACCCCAGCTCTGCCCCCTCCTAGCTGGCTGGCCTTGGGGTCACTTGCACACCTCTCTGAGTCTCAGTTTCTCATCTGCAAAATGGGGCCATTCCATGCAGTTTTGGGGATTAATTTAAACCCTACATGTAAAGCCCTCATGGCAGAGCCAGGCAATAATAGGTGCTCACTCAACATCAGATATTTTATAAGCATCCTTATATTTATTTTTTGAATTGCCTGATAGCCCTTAGCTCCCCAGGATCTCTGCTAGGACCATCCAGTGTGACTTCACCAGACTGTCCTTGGAGAGGAAGGCAATTATTAGACTGATGAAGGACATGAGATTGTCACTTTATGTTCATGGTCGTCCAAGGAGGTCAAGGGCCACAGAGCAGGACCGCTGGTGATGCCTAGAGCCCACGTGTGCCTCATGCAAGGTGTGAAGGTGACAGGTGGGAAGAATTGTGGCAGGTGAAGAGTCCGGAACCTCGGGTGGTGCAGCTTTGCCTCGCCAAAGATGAGCGCGTTGGGACTTGGCAACCACACGCTCAAGGGCCTGGCTCCCCTTCTCTGCCTCTTCATCTGAGAGCTGAGCCCAACAGCCTCAGTCAAGACGAGGCCATTACAGCGCCCCTGTGGCCACAAGGAGACATCAGGATGCGTCATCAGCCAAAAGCATTTTATTTTTCTGATTTGAGAATTTATTACCTTGAAGTGTTTCAAGAAAGACATAGACATTAAATCGGTCATACATTTAGCATCATTGTCATCACAAATCATACAGCTAGGGGACACTAGAACTCTCTCAAGAGGCCTAGTCCTGGAATTCTGAACTTTGAATAGTTGTCTACCACACGTTTTGAATCAACTAGGCCTCCCTGTGGTTTCCCCTACATTCCACTTGCTGTTGGGGGTGATAAGTGGGTTCTGAGGCCGGACAGCTGGGCTCCAGTGCAGCATGTGGCAAATAGCCTAACTTCTGGGGCCTCATTTTTCTTATCTGTAAAATGGGCTACTAATAGGCAAGCTCCTTCATGGACTGAGGACTCTATGCTGACCATGCCTGGCACCTCACAAGCACAGAGCAGCACCTCCACTGTTTGTATCACTGTTTGTCCCTAGACGCCAAGTCACGCTGTAAGTGGCTGGGATGTGCGGTCCTTCCGACGCAAAGCCCTGGGGCAGGCCGGCCTGTGGGGACCTGCTGAAGGATGGAAGGAACAGTCTTTTCCGAAGAGAGCTGAGGGGCAAGTTCCAAGTCCTCGAGGCTATAATGTCATCTTCCTAACTAGAAAGGCCTGGAGCTACTCTGCCTTTCTCGTCTCCTGGTCTTGCTACTCAGTTATATGACCTGCAAACCCAGGTTACCCTTGAACTGCCAACCAGTGCCAAGAAGGCTGGAGGTGAGCACAGTCAGACGGCTGTGCCCACGCTGACCTCTGCTGACGGAGCGCCTCATAGGGGCTCTACACAACATGGCAAGCCTGCAGGAGAGTCTCCCTGGAAGGCAGCATCACATGTGGTTAAGAATGTGGGCCCAGAGCCACCAAACGGTTTGGATCTTGCCACTTTCTTCCCAAGTGACCTTGGGCAGGAACCTCACCTTTCTCAGCCTCAGTTTCTTCATCTGTAAAATGGAGCTGGTGAAGGTCTCAATAGGAATTGCTCAGGGGCCGGTAGGAGGTGGAGTGAGAGGACACCTGGAAAGTGCTTAGAGCAGGACCTCATGCACATTAGGTCCTCCAGGAAGGTACGCCAGTGTCATCTGACTACGGAAGAGGGAGGGCTTGAGTTCAGGAGCTTGCCCAGACGGCGCACAAAGCTGATGAGGAGCAGAGTGGGAATCCCCAGCTGGCCGCTGGCCGCAAAGCCCGTGTGTGCATGTGGGGGTGGGGGTGCTTGTGTGCGTGCATGTGCATGTTTTCCCCTTCCCACAGAAATGATGTAAGCATACCAGATGCAAATGGAAGTGAAATTCTCCCTAGCCTTGTCCCCATGGGGCTGTCACTTAGCAATAATTGTTGGTAATTATACTGGAGTTTGGAAACATTTTGAATTGCAACAACTCCATCTCCGGGAGGAGCAGGACCCTCTGTCCCAGGATGATCTTCCCAAAGGGGTGGAATGAAGACTCACTCAAGTGGCTTTGTCACTTGCAGTGATGACTTTCAAGTCTCTTTGAACAGACTCAAAAAAGCACCATTTACTCCCCACATGAACATGTTTTGCAATGGTATGTGCTGAACAATATGTTCAAATTCTGCTTTGGCTCACCGTTAAGACAGTGTGGTTCCCAGATGTTTTGGTCTCAGGACTCCTTTACACCCAAAAAATATTGAGGACCCCACAGGGAACTCCTCTGTGTGACTAGGATGTTTACATTATTAGGAACTAGGGCTGAGACATTAGAAACCTTTATGACAATGATTAACTCATTATGTATTTAAAATTTAATACATAATGATAAAATCACTGTGTACTAAATAGAAGAAACATTTTTCTTAAAAAAGGAGCTGCATTTTCCCACACAAAAATAGAAGGCTGGCATTGTTCTACATTTTTGCAATTTTCTATAATATGTAAGCAAAGAGAACTGGATTCTCATATCTGCTTCTGCTTTTGAGCAGCTGTGATATTACACATCATGTAGCCCCTGGAATATTCCACTGTATGCTTAGACGAGAATGAGAGTGGAACACACAAATAATTATTATGAAAATAGTCTTGGCTTATAAACTCTCTGAAAAGAATTTAATCCTCTCACTTGTTTTCTAGACGTGCGATTACTACGACACAAATTTTACAAAGAATACCCTGGTAAGAGAAGAAACTACTCTTTCTTTGCAGAGAGTACTAAACAAGGCAGTGAGGATTTCCTGAGTGAAGGAGGAAAATTAAATACTTTCCACTGTTGTGAGAACCACAGTCTGAGCTGCTGCGAAGGGAAATTGCTCTTGTGCCCTCAGATGGCCCTTGGGGGGGAGGCGGTGGGCTGAGCAGATGCGTCTGCCGTGGAAATCTCTCCCCCAGCCTGAGCAGTCCCCCGGGGTTGCTTCTCACATGGGCAAGAGCCATTTAAGGCTACAGGCTGTGGCTGAGGCAGCAGCTCAGGGAAGCCTCAGGGACTAAAGGGGAACTAGGGGTAGGAAATTTAGGAAATGGAGTAGAAGCCATGCTTGCTGTCTGATGGTGGGCAGGAGAGGTGTGAGCCAAAGAGACGCTCGGGGGAAAACATGGCTTCATGTTAGATGTCAGAACCTGGGAAGTGCTTAAGTCCATCCTACTTTCATTTAGGGAACTGGAAATATGGTGGATGCCATCCTTCTATCCACCCACCCACCCATCCATCTACCCGCCCCCATCCATGCATCCATCCATCTACCCATCCATCCACCCATCCATCTTTATGAAGCATTTACAGCACATATTTACCAAGCACTACCGTTCATTCTGTGCTGAGATTGGGGCTGTATTAGTGAACATGGCAGACCCAGTCCCTGCCATCATACAACTAATACCCAGCAGGAAATTCAAACATTCACGAGTCCAAGCGGTTTATTCAATGATAATAGTGACCAGGACAGTTGAAGTCAAATACAGGACATTATGAAAAGGACACCTTAGACTAGCATGCCAAGGAAGGCTTCCTGAGGAGGGGGCATATAAGTTCAGCCTGAAGCATAAGACGTAGTGGGCAGAGCAGAGCAAGAGTGAGAATCCTGAGGCTGGCAGCAGCTGGCCTGTACAGTGAGCAGGGGGCAGCCCAGGATGCAGGCAGGGCAGTGGGTCCATGGCACAGAGGGGCACAGGCTGCCGGGGGTGGAGGATGACCTCCTTCTGGGGAGAAGGAGAGAAACAGGCCCGGGGCCCCAGGCCAGGCTGAAGTACGTGGACTTAATTCGGCAGTGGCTGGTGAGCCACTACGCAGCTGCCCTGACAGAGCCCCGGTCTTTCTGCAGACGGTGACTCCAAGAACGTGGCAGAGCACGACAAGGAGAGCAGAGGCACTTCCAATAACATGGGCACGGCCGGTAAGGGGGAGGAGTCACGAGCCCCAGGCCGGGGCCCTGGGCGGCCAGNGGGGGGGGGGTAAGGTTTAAATTCCCTCACAATTCCAAAATAAACGTATGAGAACTTGGTGTGTAATCAGAAGTGTCCCTACCCTCCAAACTACCAAAGGACTGGACCAGGCTGTCACTCTCCTTCCCAGCCCTTCATGTCCCTGCCTCTGTGAACAGGCAGACAAGTCCTCCATTGTGCCATGAAATCTGTCCCCCCACCCTCCCCGCGTCCCTCCCTCCCTTGGTCATGTGGTACTGCGGGCCGCCAGCTCGAGGATAGGCAGGTGCCAAGCACTTGGCTACCCAAGGCGCCCACGGATGTCTGCATGTCTGTGTGCACCAGGCCTTGTCCTGGGGCTGCCGCAGGGAATAAGCCAGAGTCGCTGCCCACCGGGCTCCCCTCCTAGAGGGCGACTCAACAGGTCAGCAAGTCCCTCAGCAAGGAAGTGACAGACAGCAGTACGTGCTGTGAAGGGAATTCACAGGCGGACAGGGGACTGTGAGGAGGTGACATCTGAGCTGAGAAGGTGCTGGGAGGGAAGACCTGGGGACCGGGCATCCAGGCAGGAACTGGAAGAGCCAACATCCGGGGCAGGAGAGATCTTGGCTTTGAGGAGCCACACAGACACCACTGGGGTGGGAACAGAATGGTGCCCGGGGAGGCTGGCACCCGGGGGGGTTCCCGGCGGAGGCACTGGCTTGCTCTCTGTTGCTCTCCAAGGTGAGACAAAGGACTGGAGGGGTGTCTGCCCCTAAAACCCTAATCCCCACCCAGCTGCTGGGAAAGCTGGAAGTCTACATCTGGTCAACAAAAGCCCTTGGCAGCAGGCGATTGCCTCAGAATGTCCTTGAAAGTCAAATAGCAGGTTTCAGGTTCCAGAATATTCAGGTGTGAGTGCTCCGGGAAAATCAGAGCCCACGGGGACTGACGCCAGCAAGTCTATTACCTGCTGATGACAGGGACAGTCCTCGGGGTGAGTCCGCCCCACCTAAGGCCCAGTGAACCTTAAATGGGGAGGTGCTGGAGCCGGCAGGGCAGAGCCGGGCGGTGGGAGGCAGCTCGGGTGGCTTCTAGGGGCCAGCCCGCCAGAACTGGGTTTGAATTCTTGCTTCACCACCGTGTGACCTCAGGCAAATGATTTCAGCTCTCCAAGCCTCATTTTCCTCATCTATAAAATAGGAATGATGGGGAGGGATGTGTTAGGAACTAAATAAGTGATATCCACAGAGACTTAACAGTGAGCTAAGAATTTAGTCTTAGTCTTAAAGGAAACTGACATGTTTCTGGAGGGTGAGGAGGAGGTGGAGGGCGCAGATTGGTGGCCCCACATTCTGCCTGGGCAGCGGTTCATATTCATTCCTTCTTTGCTTCCCTTTCAGCCAATTTGCGAGAACGTTCCTCTGCTTTCCCCTAAGCCTTGGAAACGACTGAGTTAAAAAACGATTTGATCCTCTTCGTTCACACCCAGCTCCACAGAGCAGACCCCAGAGACCCTTAGAGGCAGGCCGCCGGGCTGCGGCCCCAGCATGGCCCTGCGGCTGTGCGTGTGGCTTTGTAGGAGTCTAGAAGTCCCCCTTCATCTTGCAGCTCCACAGGTGCTGCTTGTGAGCTGTAAGAAGCCCCTTCCTGGGACAGAGTCCAGTGTCTTGGTTACAGCAGGCTTCTCCCAGGTTTGATCCTGGGAGGCACAGTCCCTGTGCCAAATGCTCTCAAAATAAAGTTGCTCACCGTAAAACGGAAACGAACTTACTCTTCTGCGTGATTCCTAGTTTTTACCACCTGATGATCTTGGATGTGCTGAAGCCATTGCGCCCTGGGGGTGGGCCAGTGGTTGCTGGGGTGGGGGTCAGCTCCGCGCTGCCTCGGGAGCCCTGGCCATGTGTGCCCCGTTTTAGTTGGCCTCCCTCTGAAACAGACCCCGGGAGGAGGATTTGCCAAAAGCAAATTAGGAATTTTCCTGGGGAAAACTAGTGGGGGATGGGGAAGTGGGACAGGAGGAGAAGAAGGTCAGACAAGGTGAGGGGTCAAGGTCCCGCAGAGGGCAACTGCAGTGAGACTCTCCTGGGGCCCCACACAGTTGCTCAGAAAAGCCCCACACTTGGTTTAATGAAATTTTTAGCAATTTTTGAAACAAGGGGCCCACATATTCATTTTGCAAATGATTGTGTGGCTGGAGTCGCCCTCTCAGCCCCATCAGGCACGGTGAGTGGGGCCCCAGCACCCCTCAGTGATAGGCGCAGTTATAACTCCTTATTATTAGCTGGGCGCAGGCAGCCCCTGGGGCACAGCTACCCCCAGTTGAGAACCTCTGGATGAAGCCCAAATAATGAGGCTCTAATTCGTGTCACTTCAACCATCAGTAAGTCTCCCTGGAACAAGCTCTGAGGTTCAGAAGAATTAACTTCTCACCCAGCCCTCACCAACTCCCTCATTCACACATTCATTCTACCAAGAAATATTTACCAAGCACCCAGCCACCTTTTCTTGGCGAATCCAAAATGTACATTTTTCTCACCTTCCCACACCCCTGAAGTTGGGAGGTGTCATAGCTGCTAGTTCCAGCCACCAGGCAGCAGGCATCTTTGCCCATGAGAACGTTGTGTGTAAGCGGATCAGTGGAAACTTCCAGGAACAACAGAACTGCCTTCTGGGAAATTCTGCCACCAGCACTGCCAGGCGCTCAGAGGGCCACGTGGGCAGAAAACTCGGATGCTGGCAACTGAGTGGAAAATTAGTTCTGAAGGGCTGGGTCCAAACGCAATGACCTTCTGGGAAGTACCTTATCCCACGCATGTCACTTAAGTTTTTTTTTTGATGTTTGCACAAGAATGATACGTGATGAAAGAGGTTTACAAAGAGGTTCTCAGGAAGTTTGAAATAAAAAACTGAAACACCACAGCAGCTCAGTTGGGAGCGCTTTTCTCTTTTAATTATACATAAAGTTATGCATAAATTACGAGCTATGCTGCCTGCCTGGGTGTCAGTCTGAGATACTATGGGAAACAGCCATGCCTGCTGCCCCCAGGAGCGATGCCCCTCCATCACACGGCCCCAGGGTGGGCTTGTGAGCCCCTTCCTGGCGGCACTCCCACCCTCCCTCACCTGCTTTCCCCTTGTGTCCTGCCCCAGGTCCTCGGGCTGGAGGGGACGCACAGGGGAGCTGGTCGCAGGCAGTGGGAGAAGCACTCAGGACCACCTGGAAGCAGCTGTATTTCTTGGCTTTGCACGTAGAGCAGGGTCCCCTTTGGAGCCTGCACAGCCCCTCCCCGGACCAGTGGTTTGGAGACCAGATGATAGTGCTTCTCACCTAGTCTGGGGCCTGAGCGGAGGTTCTGCTGGCCAGAGTGTGAGCAAACCCTGGACTTGGGTGGGGTCCATAGTGGCCCCACCGGTCACAGCTGTGTGTCCCTGGACCCGGAGCTTAACCTCTCTGAGCCTCAGTTCCCACTGTGATGGAAGAGGGGATAACACCTGCCGTACCTGCCCCAGGACTAAACGAGATGGGGAGTGAAACCAGTGGGAAACTCAGAACAGCGTATCCGGGGGCTTCTGGGCTATGGGCAGAGAAGGCGGAAGGTGCCCTGGAGGCCCAGCCCAGGATCGAAGGGGCCTGGGCGGCTATAGGTCCACTGTACTGGTGGCCATGGCAGAATCCCAGCTCCAACCAGCCTGGGCAGAGAGGGTGGTGTGGAGGGGCAGGGTTGGGGGTGCGGTTAGGGGTGAGGCTACGGTGCTAGGCTGACAGCGTCGGCGTCCCGGCTCTGACACTCGCTGGTTGTGAGGCCTTGCACAGTTTATTCATGGTGCCTCGGTTTCCCCATCTGTAAAAGGGGGTGGTGGCCCTCCAGGGCTTTTAGAAGGAGCGAAGGTGTTAATATCTCTGTGGCTCTCAGAACCGTGCCTGGCTCCTGGTGCCTGGCTCCTGGTTCGTGTTACATAAAGGGCTTCCTGCTGTTATTGTCTCCAAGGAAGGTTAGATCGGCCACAGCTTGGAAAGACGCCTCACCGGGACTTCAGGGACGGTGGGAACCAGGGATGGGCTCTCTCAGTCCTCTCTGTCTTCTCTGGGCAGAGTGACTTTTTCTTGTGACATGAAATGTAGCCCCTGCAGCTCTCCATCCTGCCCACCCACCACCTGAACGGGACTGAAAAGGAAGCCCCTTGCCCCCACCCCGACACCCTAGGGATGCCACCCACTTCTGGGCCCATCAAGGGAGGCCAGGGGACAGGTGAAGAAAGATCTGGCAGCTCCTCCCTCCCATCAGCAATGGCACTGGGGCAGTGGTGGGAAGGTGCACCAGGATGGGGTCCCAGGAAAATGCACACATGGGGGTTGGGCAGCCAATTGCCTCGATGTCCACACCAGAGACCTATGTCACGTGGGAGGGCAGTAGGACTCCAGGACATATCGTCACTTGCCCAAGGCCACGGGCAGCTGGCAGCGATGGGTGGCCGTCCGTCCTTATGGAAACTCCCTCTGTCCCTAGCACGTGCCCTGCATTACTATTACATTACTCCCCATGGCGACCTTAACACTGCAGGGAGCACCCTCCAAGCACCTACGGGCCCCTCTGCAAGCCCTGCACAGGCACTAACTCATCTGAGCTGTCCCGACCCATGAGCAAGACACTATTAACAACCATTTCACAGGTGGGGGAAACTGAGGCACAGAAAAATGAAGTCATTTAGCAAGAGTCACACAGCTAGTAAATGGCAGGGTGAGGACACAGACCTAAGTCATCTGCGTCTGGTGTCCATGGGTGGTAGGAACTTTTCTTTCAATCAGAAAAAGTCCTGCATTTGTGTAGTTATATGAACACAGATAGGCACTGATAAAATACTTGCCTTGATTATGACATTCCCCTACCACAGCCGTCTGGAGTGGAGAGACCGCACCGTCATTGCTGGTCTCCTAGGAAGTACCAAGCACAGGAAGCCTTTCTGGAAAAGATTACATGAGGGGAAGGACACACCTTTTTTTTTCTCCATTAATTGTCAAAGATTATACCTCATACTAAGGTTATCTGTTTTGTTTTTCTTTATTTTTTAAAAATAATTTTATACAACTTTTTATTTGAAAAAATGGTGAATTCACAGGACATGCTCAGACATGTACAGGGAGGCCCCCTGCCCCCGTGGTAACATCTCGTGTTAACTGAAGCCCAATGATGCAAGCAGGAAGCTGGCATGGCTGCCACCCACAGGTGCACACGATTCTCCAGTTCCACAGCGTGAGGCCATTCGCCCAAGGCCCCTGGCTTCGAACTGGCCATCACTGGGCATCAGAGCCCCACTTCCCATTTTCCTTTCTTCCTGGAACTGCAGGAGGCCGGCTTTACTTCTCTGAACAGTGAGTCTGGAGTTTCCTCTCTCACCGTATTGAGATACAACAGAGGCTCTGGGCACCTCTCTGGCTGCCTGGAGGCCCCTCCACAACCAGGAGGGGCAGGGGTGGCCCCACTGTAGCTGGGGCACTGGGCTGACGGCAGGGGCCGGCCAGGGGCCTCACCTGCTCCAACGGCTTTCATCAGAAGGGACTTAATCAGTCCCTCTGTTCCCTGGGTAGACTGACTTGGCCACAATCTTTCCTGGGGCCATATTCCAACTCAGCTGCCAGAATTAACTTAGCTCACCGGCCCCAAGTCTTTTTCTAGAACATTCTCACAGCCACAGCAAAGTAGTCTAAAGAAAAGGCAGGTGAGGCTCTTCCAGGTGACAATCGTGCAGGACAAACCCTGCCTTATAACCCCAGGGAGGGCCTCCCCATGCTTCCACCCCGTGGAGGGGAGTGAGCCCTTGGGTGAGATGCGAGAGGTACCCAGCCCCAGACAGACCTCTTTCCGCAGGCACCTGTAGCTGCTGCCTGGAATTCCACCATTAGAGTGTCATCTGGTGCTGACGCTTGAGGCCTGCTAGAGTGTGGACTCCTCTGGGAGAGGCTGCTGCGATCTAAGCCTCAAAGGGAAAGTCATACGCCCAAGAGCAGACCATTCAGCAAGGGGCAGAGCCGGCATTCGAACCCAGGCTTCATCCCACTCGGTAAATTGGAAGATGAACGCAGCAGGGTTTTGTGTGTCCCTTTAAGGCTACTCAGGATGGAGAAAGGGAACATAGTGGGGCCTTGTCGGGACAAGGCGCCAGGCTAATGTCCCCGCTGAGACTGGCTTTGGGATGCCTGCCCCGGGGGCGCCATGTTGGTGCTCTGAGACCCAACTCTTTGGCCTCAGCTGATTGGTCCAGAAACCGGTCACCTGACTTGAGCTAGGCCAATCAGAATGCCCCCTGATTGTGCCCCTGAGTCTTCCTGATGCCAGAAGGTCGCTTGGCCTGTGACCTGGAGCCAGGCCGAGGAGCGAGGGACGCTCGAACCCGGGCTCTGCCTCTTCTCCCAACTCCGTGGCCTCAGGAGACTCCCTGAACCCCTCGATGCTT